GGGTTTCTAGCCTGGCGCCTTAACCATTATACCATAGTGGGTCTCTTTTGGGTGATTTAATGAAACTAAAAATGGCTAATTTTTTAAAGTGATACAAACATTCCTTTCAAATCATCAGTGATACTGTTCATCTCCTATAAATACTTTTCATTATGAAAGACAGGTGGTGTCCAGAACCTACCCTCTTCTCATGGTTGGAATGTCAGAGTCAGCCAACTTCAACCAACCCCAAGCGGTATTGGGATCCATTGGGATCCATTGGCAGTAATCTGGGTTCAGCTTCTCTATTTGGGAAGCTTTGAGCCCTGATACAACTGAGACAAGACGATGTGTGGGATGGAGAAAAGTCATTTCAATTACTGAAAGCTACTAGAAAATAAGGAATGACTTGGAGTCAGAAAGGATTGGGTTTTTTGAGGCTTAACTATGCTAGCAAAAATACTATGGTCATGCTAAAAATTCAGATCCTTCCAGGAGATACATAGAGATGAATGAGGGGCCTATTACTATGCACTATCACCATCATGATGCCTTATTGACAAACATCTGTGATCTTCGTTGGTTGATTTTCTAACATTCAAATGTAATGTGGAGAACATGCTCTGAGACTCTCTTCTCACAAGATCAATTAATGTTTTTGAGGAATCAATATTATTTTGATGTAGGGACAGTGATCAGTGGAATGGTTTAGAGGGGAGATCATGGGTTCAAACTAACGTGAGACTTTAAATAATTAATTGCAAGTATGGGAAAATGAGTAAGATATCATTTCCTTGTCATAAAAATGAGGAAAACTCACTTTTCACTTACTCATACTTTCATAGGTAAAAGACCACAAGTAAATACATGTTTTCCACGTATGTCATGTCAAGACATCAATCTCTGCCATCTTAGTGTAAGGGGAAAATCCTGAGTAAACAAATCCAACCAATTGTCTGATTCAAGATGAAAGGAATCAGGAAAAAGAGAACAGAAGAATTTTGTGAGGTTGAATAAATTTTGGAGAGATGAACTATCCTAAATCATCTGCACATCCTTATATACGTATTTTAATATGTCTGCATATATTTAAAGGCACATATGTTCTAGGTTCAGTGAAGACCAAGAAAAGCAGCATGATATAAAAGTAATTTTCATCAGATATTTGTAGGCTTTATCGATTCATCTCAGCTGGGATTGGATCCCTCTTTCTCTGAATGAATCCCTTTTATTCTTTTGATCAGCCTCTTCTACTTGTGGTCAATGGCATGTTAATGGAACACTTTGCTGGGCTTTTTGCCCTGTTTATTTAGTTACAATATGTATACCTGTACTTCAATCAGGTTGATAAAGACACAAATCAGTGGAAGCAAGATATAAATTAATCTGAAGGCAGGGGCTGATTTATAGTCATTAGGAGCAATAGAAAAGGTGGGGGGAGAAAATAACTCCTTGGGATTTTGGTTTCTGCTTTGTTCTCTTCTAAATGTGAGTATCTTGTACGTAAAAGTAAAATTTCACGGGCATAATAAAATGAGCAGAGACCCAGTATTTGTGAGTTTTTAAAGAACCATAATTTTTAATTTTTTTATTTTTTATTTGATTGATTGATTGATTGATTGATTGATTGATTGCTGCAAACAGTTGTCATGGCTCTGGAATTATTTGCTGCAGTGATACAATTGCTTAATCTCGCTAACTGAATTAACCCATGTTTGAGATTCATGTGATACAGTATATTGATTCAAAGACTAACAAAGAGGCTGATTTTGGAGTGATATGCTAGGCTGTAAAAATACCTAACTGGGGGATTTAGCTGTGGAGTCATTGGTGCCTGTATTAGTCATTAGTTTGAGTTAATTAAGTGATTAATACATTAAGAAGATGTAGAGTTATTTATTAGTGTTATTAAAAACATAATACAACAACAATAAAATCTATGGATTGCCACTAGTCCCTCTGGATTAAGGTGGGGATAAACTGCATAAATAAATAAATAAATAAATAAATAAATAAATAAATTTATTAAATTTATATGCCGCCCATCTCCCCCAGAGGGTGACTCTGGGTGGCTTAGAATTAAAATCCAAAACAACAAAAACAATAAAAATATAAATATCCATATTAAATTAACTAAAGTGATGGGATGGAATTATGAAGGCCAGACTCAGGGAGAAAAACATTTTCTTTCATCTCCTGAGGCGTGAGGGAGAGATAAGAGGATGAGACCGGCACCTCCCTGAGGAATTCACAATGTTGTGGCTGGCATTACTT